GGCGTTGTTATTTCGACTTGCGATTGGGAATGAATACCGCAACAAATTACTTGGTTACCAACTTGCATTTATGATTACTGAATCAGAGAATCAGAGATTCACCTATAATGTATTAATGAAGATAAAACACGCCTCTACCGACGAGTTGGTTCATTTCGACAAAGATTATATTTCCAATTTAATCTATATATTGGATTTTGAGGGGTTGGCTTCTAAGATTAGTCTGGACTTCTTGCATAACAACTCTCAGACAGATTTGCTTATTTTCCGAACAATTAAAGACTCTATCGATGGAATTCGCAATTCTGTGTTGCACAATGCAGCCGTAATTGCGCACAGTTACGCAAATGCCGGAACCAAGGACACTTCATTTTTACGTGCCAACCTTGAATGGATGGGTAAGGCATCAAACTGGGCAAAGTTTATAGCCACCTCATCTATTGGAGTTATTCACAAGGGGCATGTAAAAGAGTCGGTTCGCATCCTCGAGCCTTACCTGCCACAAGCTCCCCTATCTAGTTCTCCATTTTCTGAAGGTGGTGCTCTTTTTGCACTTGGCTTGATTCACGCAAATAAAGCCAAGTTGGGCGAGTCTGCTGCAATTACATACCTAAAAAATGCCTTGCACAATTCAGGTAGTTCTGAGCCGCTGCAGCACGGAGCTTGCTTAGGATTGGGATTGGCTGCAATGTCAACCGGAGGTGCAGAGTATTACGAAGAATTGAAAACCGTTCTTTACTTTGATTCTGCTGTTGCGGGTGAAGCCGCTGCATACGGTATGGGTCTTGTCATGCTTGGACATGGTGGCGATACAAATACATCACAAAACGCAATTTCTGAACTATACGCGTACGCTCACGAGACTGCACACGAAAAGATCATTCGGGGTGTAGCCCTAGCTATCGGTCTTATTGTCCTTGGAAAAGAGAGCGCGGCCGAACCCACCATTCAATTACTCTGTCGTGATAGAGACGCTATAATTCGGTATGGGGGCATGCATGCCATTGGCCTCGCATATGCAGGCACGGGTAACAACAACGCTGTGAAACGCCTCCTGCATGTCGCCGTGTCGGACGTCTCAGATGATGTTAGACGCGCAGCAGTCACCTGTCTAGGGCTGGTTCTATTTCGCACCCCCAAAAAGATTCTTGCTCTGGTGGGACTTTTACTTGAGAGCTTCAATCCCCACGTCCGCTATGGTGCCTGCATGGCTATTGGATTTTCTCATCCTGCTTCAGGCGATCACGACGCGCTATCTTTATTGGAACCTATAATCACAGATCCCATAGATTTTGTTAGGCAAGGAGCACTGATGGCAACGGCACTTGTCCTCATGCAACAATCACATGCTCGAGTGCAAACCCTTGCTAGTTTCCGCGAGCGAATTGCAAATTTAGTCAAAGACAAGTATCCTTCGACGCTCACGAAGATAGGTGCGATTATGGCTGCAGGGATACTGGATGCCGGTGGTCGGAACTGTGCCATTTCGCTGCAATCTTCTGGCGGATTTCTTAAGAGAGGTGCGTGCGCTGGCCTCGTCTTATGGGCGCAAAGCTGGTACTGGTATCCTATGTTTCATTTTTTCTCCTTGGCACTCGCACCCACTATGCTTGTTGGCCTGAATTCGGACTTTGAGATGCCTAAGTGCTTCTCTGTTATCTGTTCGGCCCCTCCTGATTTATTTGCGTATCCCTCGCGCATGAAAGAGAAAAAAGAAGTGAAGAGAGAAAGAGTTGCGACTGCCATACTTTCAACCACGCGGAAGCAAAAGGTCCGGGACAGGACAAAGGTGCAAGGGAAAACTGCCGATGTCAAGGAGGCTCCTGACGTCAGGGTAGACTCAATCCAAGTAGGCACACGCGGCGTTGGTGCTGTGTCCTGTGAATTGTCGAATCCCTCACGTCTAACACCTGTGCAAATTCACAGCTGCCAATTTGATTTAAAGCAGCGATATATCCCAGTTTCTAGCTCAATAAAGCCCTGCGGGATCATAATTCTCCTTGATCAACAGCCCGGAGAACCTCAGGATATCACACATTTTGATGAAATCTCAAAGCACACCGACAACATAGATGAGTCAGAGCCACCAGCGCCCTTTGAATGGCTTCCGTAAAGTTCCAAGGGCCTGCTTTGCTAGAACTGTCGACAGCGTGATATTCAAAGGTGGCTAGCTCGGATCATGCACTCCTGGTCGGGAGATTTTGTGTGATTGTAGGGAGATGGCCACGGGAGGTGGCTACGGCAGGCTGCTACGGGACTGCGAGTTGTCTCATGGGACATGCCGCACCCTAGCTTCGGTCATGCATGATAGTTCACTAAACGAGACTGTTGGACTTGGCTACCCGGACGACGGTGGCGAAGGCGACTGGTCAACGCTGAAGCAAACAACAAAAACTGCACCACGAAACGCGCCATCCAAGCGTCATTCCAGCTGCAGGCGGAGGTTCCGTGGGCCTTGCGGAACAAAGCCATGCAGCGACCGCCGCGAGCTGCGCCCGCAAAAGTGGGCTATCGCGGTCGCTGCTATTGCAATTCATGTTGGAATACAACCCTAGCACACGCGAAAGGGGCGTAGCCACGTCCTCTGGGGCACATAAGTGGGGGTAGCCCGGGCGTACTCCGTATATTATCTCGGCGGGTCTATGTAGGGAGAGATACCCCCAACTAGGGTAACGATAAACGTTGATGTCCACATTCGGGGACAGGGCAGTGTCGTCTCCATAGTGTGACGTCGCGTGATAGTGGGGCACTCAGGAGGGGAATTCTCCTGTATCTGCCTTACCGCCCTTATTTCCCCTTGCACGGCAGGTTCCTATCCTTCTATACCTGGGCCGCACCCGGGCCGTCGTGCGGGGAACCGTATGATTCGGCACCAAACGCAGCGTTTCGCGTCGACCGATCACCGTCGCTGTGTTCCGCCGGCCGGTTCGACATCATAGAGCTTCTGCACGGCGATCTACACCGCCTCCGACGCCCACAAGGTGCCCGACGGTCGCCGGAAGCGCTTGTCTCGGAGAAGCGGCGATGGTCTCCGCGGCCTGTTGCGAGCGCGTCCGGGCCTCGGTCGAGGTTTGTGCGACCTGCCCGTCCATCGACGGTCCCGATCGCCGCCGCGAGCGGCTGGACCGCGGCAGAGAGCGCCTTGGAGCGCCTCCAGGGGCTCAAAATAGCTCATTTTTACTTGACTCTTGACATTGCGAGAGAACTACCACCGCGGCGCCTCAAAAGTGCCGCGGCGGGTCGCAACTACACGATTAGCTACCTAGTTAGGCCTGAACCAGAGCCGCCTGCTGCGGGCCGCTTGCGAACTCGCCCGGCGGGTCGCTGAACCACGCGCCCCCGAGCGCGCTGCAGGTGCCACGCGGTCATGGGTCGATAAGCTCGCCATCAAGCTCGATTGGGGGCGTTATCCCGTGGTTCACGCTCGGCGCCGCGGCCGAGAAAAGCGTGTCCGCGGGCCGAAGTAGTACGAGCGATGCCGGCAAGCGCCGCGCCCGTCTCCGACCTCCGCGAAACAGCGATATGCGGCAACGTCGAAACCTTCGTTCGCGGCCGCTTATAGCTCGACAGCCCGTACGGTACCCGAGGTCCTCCCGGCCTAGGCGGCACCAGAGGGCGGGGCGTGGCCGAGGTGGCGTGCCGCGCGCGTCGCAACACGAGCAATTTTGCTACTTCGAGGCGCTCGCCCAGGTCGAGCTATGCCCATCTATGGCACCCCCCCCCCCCCCCC